TGTTGATTCATGCCGGATGTTGCCACAGGCGAGGCACGATGGACGTTGGATCGTGTTCAGAATAAGGAATTTCCTAACGCGCGTTGCAACCGCGCCGCGCGCGACTCTCTGACTTGATTTGCACGCGCATCCTTCGCCTTTGCTCGCTTCCTTCTCTTCTTAATATAGCGGGGATAATCATCGTTCATGTTCGTTTCATGTGCAAATGGTGTTTTGAACGTTTCGCTGTTCGGAAACCAAATATGGTATCGCGATAAGCGATCTCTCTATCGCACAGAATAGATACACAGTCTCTAAATGTATCCGTTTAAAATGTACGAAACGCTACGATATCGAATTGTATCCCTCGATGGATCGCACGGTGAAATTTAATTAGCAGATGCTAATGAACTAGCAGATCAGGTTTCCAGTTTTGATTCATCGATATTTCAATAGCGGTCGTATCGATTAGGATGCTGCTTGTTCGTTGAGAGGAAACGCTAATGGTCGGGATGTGATCGATCATCGGGGCAGAAGACGTTCGCGTCTAAAAGCCAGGATGTTGACCTGTGTTTCTTCCTTATTCTTAAGAGTGGATCGTTATGAAATGACGTTAATTAGCGTACCGCCGGTTCGTGGCACTGGGAGTGGAAGTTATTCGCGACCAGACACACCGCAAATTACACGAATTACCGTGGCGATTATGTCGAATCGTTACAGAAGTCAGGGTCATTGCTTCGAGATGATTATTAGCCGAGCGTTTGAAACAATAGAGTGTTCGAAGTAGTCGAAGTTTTAACAGGTTTCCAATGGGTAAAGTGTATCCCTCTCTCTCTCTCTCTATCGAGTCCTTTATTCGACAAGATCGAATGGGAGAATCAACTTTCTTCTACTTCGTGGAAAATTTCACTTAATTTGCAAAATTCTCCATTCACCGGTGCAACGTTCGCTGAAACCGCCGACTAGAATTCTAAACTCGCCGATCTTCGTCAACGAGAAACCGTTACGTGCGTTTCGTAGGACACGGATCCGTGTCAACCAGCTTTACACGAAGTTTCGACTGCATTTCTCCTTTTCTCGTGTGAACGGATCGAAGCGGTTTTGCAACACACACGCGTGACCAATATAAAGAGAGAGAGTCCGCACGAGGCGCCATTTTTTCGCTTAAATGGAACGGCGATTAATAAATATTCATACTGTTGCGTGCATTTTTATCATAATCTTTAGCTCGTCCTTTCTAAAGCTTGACATCTTTCGTAAAATACCTAACTGTATCCTTGAGTTCATCTTTGATAAATTAAAAAAGAAAGGAAAAATGTCCGTCGTTGAATTCCTCGCAAAATTACTTGCAATTTTAAGCGATAATGACATAATCCGTTCCGAGCCACACACGTAGCGAGTATAATAATTAAATAAATACTGTATGTTAAACTCAGTAAACGTCTTCCAAATTGAACATTCTTATTTACACCCGTAATACTTAAGGTAAAAGAGAAATTTTCCTGCCTATCCTTAATCCTCGCATAATCACGATGCGTAGGTTGTCTCCCATCGGTATAATACGAAAAGTATAATGTACAAACTATCCAGATTATACCTCATCTGAACACTTTCACGACTCTGAACGAACATAGACATCCATGAAACGAGAACGACTGGTGGGCGAAGTGACCAAGAAAAACTTACTTATGACACTCTATCCAACTCTATCGAACGATTAGGATCGTTATCCTTGATGGTACCTGTCGGGTGCATGATAATTAAATCGATCGATTAAGTCATCCACAGTGGTCTACAGACACGTTCCACGCTCGAGTGTCGAAATCGCGCTTCGTTCGATTGGTCCTCGATAGATATGGAGGGAAATCAGGTTGGGCGTTGAATTTTGTCGTGTTCGAGGTCCTTCGATCAGGATACGAGGATTTTTAAGGTTACCCACTGGCGGATGATTAAGAGGAAAATTGAAAGTAGGCCACGGAAAAAGGAGTTCGACGAATTCTCTCTCTTTTTTGTTTAACCCGTTCTTTTCTCTCTCTTCGAGTGTTGCAATTGACTGGCGCGTGGGAGTTTCGCGTTATTGGCGCAGGCAGAGAGATACATATGTGCAAAGGTGAGCGTGTGTGCCGCCGACTAATTGATAGGTTTTGTCATCGTTTCCTTCTGTCTGCCTGCCGGATGATATCATTGACACGGTAACACATTTCACAGCGATACCCTTACTGAGCGCTGCGACAATGTTACCAGCCGGTATTTGCATAAAGTGAACGCATGTGAGAGTGTTGCGTGTGGGGATTGTCGTTCTTTTGTTCCAGGCCTCGTTTTACATTTTTTCGTTATCACCTACTCCAGAAAGAAAGTTACCCCCACAATTTCACTCGCAAATTAAACCATCAATTGATTCGTACCAATGTGAATTCCTCGTCAATTACTTCCTTGTTTTCCGGAAGTGCCAACTAATTTAAAATTCACGGCTAATGTCGAGGGTGGGCAAATTTCCATGACGAAAATTCCGAGAGAAAAAAGAGGGCTGTTTGGCGAGACCAACTGGCGAGCAACTCCTCGTTATCGAGGAGTTAAGGGTACGAGAAGGCACCAATGGCTGTTGGACGAGTGGCGGGGCAGGAGGGCCACAGGTGCATCGCACTCGCACGCCCTCCTTTATTACGTTCCTCCGTGTCTCTCCTTCTCTCTTCCGTCTCTCTTGCTCACTCCTGTTGCTCGTTAGTAACGGGCTCAAGACGTTGCAGGTATATACACTAAGAGGCATTATCCTAAATTCTCGTTTATGTACTTCCACCTGACGTCCGACGGTTTGTTAAGATAATACGATCTTGGAACGGTGTATCGATAATGGTACACGACGAAGACCACATTCTTCTCAGAGTGCTGACTTTCTTGTACGATCTAATCATGCTAATTTGATTACACCCATGTCATTTGAAAGATAATAGAAGTTCCATAGGAGACGCTGGATTTGTAGAAATTTCATTTGAAAATTACTTCTCATTTTTACCACGAATACACTTCTTGACGATCGAATCACGTTTAATTCGAGAGGAAAAGAAAAGCTCGTACAACTTTTCGAATCACACACGAATTCAAGAAGATGGGATTGGAAATGAGCATGATTCCACGATAACCGATGCACACACGCGCAGTTTCTCTTTCAGGAAACGTCCGTAGCCTACGTCCATAACGAATCTTTATCAAGATCGAGACTAAATCGCCGGAGAAAAACTCGCAAGACGAGGAATCAAATGGCCATCTCTACGTACTGCTAGTTCTACTCTTTCCTTCTTCACTATCGCTCTGCCTCTATCCACTAGTCTCTTCGTTCTTGTCCTCTCGTACTTCTCCACTCTTTCTCTCTCTCACTCGTATCCCGGTACCTTCTCGAACATTTTCCCTCGCGATCCTCCTCCTTTTTCCTCTTCCACCATCTTTCTCCTGTTCGTTTTTCCCGGCGATCTCTCTGCGTTCCTCCTGCTTGTTCCCCTAATTGTCCTTCTCTTTTTCCCCTCGACGTTCCATCGAACAGCTCCTCCTCGATCGTTCCTCTCTCGCGTTCTTCGCCTCGCGGTGAATCCTCATCCTCCTCACTTGCACGTACAGTCGTTAACATTTCGCCGCGCAGTTGATCGCCAGCTCTGACTTATTGTGCGACGTGCCGGCCCGTGTACCCGCGTACAATGCGTCCGGGCGTTCGCCATAAGCCGCCACTGCACGTAAGGGACGTCTTCCGCGAATCGCGTGCACCGATGTCCTCTGAAAATTCCACTTCCGGCGTGACCGCATCCGTGAAATCTCTCCTGATGGTTCTCGAATGTTTTCATACCTTCTGAGATACTTCTAGAGGAATTTTCTTTCGAGAATCTTTGCAATCGATGGGACAGGCTTCTTTTGGGTACTTTAGAAATGGGGTATTATATTCTGAAGCCGATATTGTAAGAAGAGACGTCTTTCGCGGAGCGCCACGCATTGAAGTCTCCAGAAAATTCTGCTTCCAGCGCGACCGTCTGCATGAAATCTCTGTTGATGCTTCTCGAACGATTTCCAATTTTCTGAGAATCTTTGCAATTGAAGATGAAGTATCGTAGTATTTAACGGTTGAAATTTTGCCAAGGATAATCCGAATTTGACGAGGGAAGCTTCGACAAACATTTCTAAGGTTCCATCGCACGTTCATAATTACTCTCGCAGCAAAACGCTGACGATCTCCGGTCGCGAAGAAAACCAATTAACCCACAATTATCTGCTCTGACTGCACACTTCGTTCTTAATATGCTGCTCAATTACGTTTAGCCGGTTGGTCGAAAGAAACACTCCAGTCTATTAGTAAATCTTAAAGATCCTCGATTAAACAAGCCACGGAATCTTTAATTAAACTTTCTTTTAATTCCCAACAAAAAACGACGCACATTATCGTTTAATCATTCCAGCTTTTAGCGGAAACATGAAAAACGTCGGATATCCTTGTTCACTGTTACTGTACTCCGCGTAACAGGTTGTTCGAGGGTATCTTTGCACCCACTGGCGAAGCAAGAAGCTTCTTAAATTTCAAAACACCGTGTAACCAGGAAATTGGGTTTTTAGGGCCAGGGCTAACGTAAGGTGATACAGTTAGGTTCGGGTTTGTTCGTGAGGGGGTCGCGAATGCCGACACACCGGTACGAACAGGTGTCCCTCATCCAGTTCCCCCGTACTACCAGCAAAAACGACCACAGTTTCTTCCTGTCCCACCTCGGGGCACGATTTTTCGTTCACGTGTAGTAAAAAGAGGTTCACAGTTTTCTTCCTCCGCTCTTTTCTTCCACGTTGTGCACGAACGATCCTGAAAATCTTCCGTCGTTGCACTAAGGGCGATCGCTCGAGCGAGACTGTCGCCGATTTATGTTGTAATTAGACGAACGTAATCCAGTAAATAAATAAAACAAGAAAAGAAACAGCCGTGTCACAATATCGCGCAAATTAGTAGCTTACTCGTTACGTATATTAATTAACCTTCATTTGTTACAGCCAAGATGAAACATCTTTGGCCGTTGCTGGCGTGGATACTTCTGTTCTTCTGTCCGGTGAGTATAATTAATCATTCCGCAATTCTAATTACCTCGTTGCCTTTTTAACGCCTGCACGCGTCAGCGTTTAGGGAAGATACGAAACGTAAGATAATGCACATTTACAAGGCAACCGTTTACATTAATCCTATTGCGCGTTCGTCACTATTCCAGGCCGAATCTCTACGAGGACTCGGCCACGGACTAAGAAGGGAAGTGTTCTTCCTCAACCTCGAGGATGGCTACTTTGGCTGTCAGATGAACGAGTCCACGGATGTTCTACAGCTGTTAGAACTGTCGAAACTCTGCGACAATAATATCGATTGCTACCAGGGTACGGACGAGCAACGTGACAGGTTAAAGTGCACAGGTAATCACGTTCCTCGAGAATTACCTTATTCGCTATAAGTTAGAAGAGACAGAAAAGTGTACAGGGTAGAGTGGTTGCAGAGAGGATCTCTGCTCGTTTCACGACTCGGTCACGCTACCGTTACAATCTCCACTGTTCCTTTACGTCATTCTGTTGTTCCCGGCGCGATTACGCCAGCCAAGCGATTCCCGCGTGACGCCGACGCGTAACGTCGTCTCGTCACGGCAATTACGAGGAGTCGCGAACCTGTCGACGCGGTTCTTCACGATCGAGCCTCACTTCCGCCGCCGATTAATCGTCGACATTGATTCCTTTTTCATTAGTATTCTCACCGTGCTGTTTTCATACTCACATCAACGCGAACGGCGAACAACGGTGTTACGTAAAACGGCTCGCAATAGGGAAAAGAGTTACTCATCGTAATCGACATTTTTACCGCGATTATTATTCTCTCGCCAGGATGACTGAGGGATTGTTCACGCTGTTGTGTTTACCCACGACGAATGAGAGATTGATTTCTTTGTTTCTGATAGACGACTGCACGAAGGAGGATGGGTCTAGGTGTCTGAACGGCGTCTGTCTCGACTCTGTGTGCCATTGTAACGATGGTTTCGGCGGTTGCAATTGTCAGGTGCCAGGTAAATTCTCTTTTTCAATCGATTCTCCGGCTGCTACGAGATGAACGGGCATTTCATGGAAATTGAAACACACGTTACAGACGAGAACGAGTGCAAGTATCGTCCCTGTGATATATTCGCGCATTGCACGAATACCCTCGGTAGCTTCCAATGTTCCTGTTTCCCCGGATACCAAGGCGATGGTTTCCACTGCGAAGGTACGCGTGTAGAACGAACGCTCTTTCGTTAAAAATACTGCTCGTCGAGTGTTCAACGTTTCCTCTGATACTTCTTTAAACAGATATAAACGAGTGCGATAACCCGGTTTTCGCCGCGAGATGCGTCGAGAACGCCGAGTGCTGTAATCTACCGTCGAACTTCCTATGCAAATGTAAACCTGGTTACATCGGCGACGGTGAGGTGCATTGTGAAGACGTGAACGAGTGTGCTATACCTGGTGCCTGTGGTGACAATACCGTCTGCCATAATACTCCTGGAAATTATAGCTGTAGCTGTCAAGATGGTTTCACGGGAGACCCGTACGAAAGTGTAAGTAGTCGAAGACAAAAAGAAAATAAATACATATTCCAGTGGAAGTGTGTGTTTTGTTGGCAAGGAAAAAATGTTGCATTCTTAGAAGACGCTCTTTAGCCGTCGCAAGATATGCACAAGTTTCGTAATATGGTACAAGGATAAACGAACAATTATTCAGAATAACTTTTTACAATTGGAGGATTGGGAAAATGATTAACTCCTGTGATAGCATTCTCCGCGAGTAATAATATTGGATTGTTCAATTAATCGCGAGAAATTTATTTCTCGAATTGTAGGCTTCGTAGTTACGATTAACTTCCTTTCCAGGCGTGCATCGTTAGGTTTTATTCAGAGATACTATGCACTACGGTCAGCGTTAGGTGTCTACGATAATAAATTCTACTTGTGCACAGTGTATCGATATCAACGAATGCGATTACGCGGGAACTTGCGGCCGAGGCGCGTTGTGCCTGAATGTACCGGGTGGCCACAAGTGCGAATGTCCCGAGGGCTATAACGGCCATCCTGAAGAAGAATGTGTGGACATCGACGAATGCCTGCGCAGCCCTTGTGGTCGTTCAGCTCAGTGCACAAACGTGCACGGCAGTTTCCGCTGCTCTTGCCCGGAAGGAATGAGCGGCGATCCTTGGTTAGGCTGTCACGGTGGGTAACTCGATTTCTAATTATCCGAAACATTCTTCCCGAACAAGCTTATCTAGCTCACCTACGTATCTACATCGTTACCCACTGTTACTTCATCTTATAATTAGACTACGGATGTTTACGCAATTACAACGTATCTAAATATGTTAAATGCACCGTATTTTGCATACTTTTATACGCTGCAATTGCTCAAACGTCCGTAATCTACTTATCGTAGATAGAATTTCTCGTACAACTTCTAAACGGTAAGTAATTGAAGTAATGTGAAGAATAGAAGAGGTAAAAATTAATATCCAAGCTTCGTATTAATAGTATTCATTCTCAGATAGTCTTAACAATCGTAAAGAGTCTTAACAAATTACTCGATAACACAATAATCAGTAGTAAAGAAGCACTAACCGTCACTAACAGATATAAACGAGTGCGAGGAGGGCTCACCGTGCGGCACAGACGCTGATTGCGTGAACACAGAGGGTAGTTTCGAGTGCAGATGCCGGACCGGCTATCAGATGGACGAGACACACGGTTGCATCGACGTGAACGAGTGCGGTCGAGCAGATGCATGCGCGGAGAACGCAAGATGCATCAACGTGCCCGGATCGTACAAGTGCATCTGCCCCCAGGGCTTCATCGGGCAAGGACTAACATTGTGCGAAAGTCAGTCATTCCTCCTAACTAGTTCTTTCTTATATATCTCGACTTCTTCGTATTAATAGTCCATGTCTAAAACGTAACAAACGATTAGAATTAATATGCTCACCGTTCGATTAACCGTGTTGATTAACAGACGTGAACGAATGCAAACGAAACCCTTGCGGCGAGAACGCTGAGTGCAGTGACACGATCGGCAGCTTCGTATGCAGTTGCAAGGCGGACTACACTGGGGACCCGTTTAAGGGATGCAGCGGTTAGCAACTGAGAATTATAGTTTTATGTCTCTTGGTTGTGTTTCATACTGTTACAAAAGTTCACCATGTTCTCAACTTGTTGCCTTCGTTATCTCCTTTTTTGTAGATTTTTCATTCAACCTTACTTCTGGAAGTTTACGATTTATATGTATTGGATGATTTGATGTTTCAAACGTTTGGGACGTTCTTAATTTTTTGACTTTGTTATTTTATTTTTCTTGCGAATTTTTAAGTTTACCTCGAGACGTTACTTCTAGAAGCTTGCGATTCAGATTGTGCACTTTTCGAGGCAACGAGTTACTATTCCATTCACTGTGCTGTGCTGTTTGTGAGATGATTTGAGAAAGATTGGTTGGTTTTCATTTGTTTCTTAGATATTGACGAGTGCACAGCGTTGGAGAATCCTTGCGGAAGATACGCGATTTGCAAGAACTCGGATCCTGGATACAACTGCCTCTGTCCACAGGGATACAGTGCCAATCCCAATCCGACAGTCGCTTGTGAACAGGTAATTCTATTGTTTGTAACTATTTTATTGTATATTTCACTCGTACTGCACTATGAAAATTTCATAGACCGATGTCACCACCCTTTGCAAATCGAACTTCGACTGCGTGAACAATGCTGAGTGCATCGAAGGTCAATGTTTCTGTAAGAATGGATTCAAGGCTGTAGGTTCTGAATGTGTTGATGTTGACGAGTGTCTGTCGAATCCTTGTGGACCTGCGTCGATTTGCAGCAACACTAGGGGAAGTTATCATTGTGAATGCGAATCTGGATTCGTTGGAACTCCCCCGCACATACCTTGCAAAGGTAAACGAGTTGGAAATAATACTGATTGGGGAAGAATTTCGATTATCGAGAGATTTTTTCAGCACCCTGCGACGAAGTAACTTGCGGAGACCATGCGTTCTGTAAAGCGGATGGTCACGAAGCTTACTGCATCTGCGAAGATGGCTGGACCTTCAATCCGAACGATATTGCCGCTGGTTGTGTTGGTAAGTGCACAGAAATGTTAAAAAGAAATATTCTAATTTGCAATTTTAATATTCGAAATTTGAATGTTCTATTCTTTTTCCATCGTAAGAGATAAATTTTTTCAATTAGACATAAACGAATGCGACGCGATAAACGGTCCTTCCGGACGCTGTGGCAAAAATGCGATCTGTACGAACACTCTCGGCGGATTCAGCTGCCAGTGTAAACTTGGATTCTCTGGAAACGCTTTCAAACAATGCATGGGTAAATCTAGACTCGATACTATTTTTCAGATAACAAAGGATCATTTTCTAAGTTGATTATTTTCGTTCTAAACAGACGTAGACGAGTGTGGCAGACAAGATTCCTGTGGCCATGGTGCCTCGTGCACGAACACCGAGGGTTCTTACTCCTGTACTTGCCCAGAGGGAACTATACCAGATCCTGATCCTTACATCAAATGTGTCGGTATAGTAACTTGCGAGGTAGACAGTGATTGTCCTGGAAATGCCATTTGCGATCCACAGAAACGCTGTCTATGTCCTGAACCTAACGTCGGAAACGACTGCAGACGTGAGTGTCCAATGGAAACAATTTATCAACGTGCAATTCCTCCATATCTTCGATATTCCATTTCTCTAATTTTGCGAAATTAGATCCTTGTGAAGACTTATCTTGCGGACCAAACGCCCAGTGTATGTTATCCAACGACCTGGCAACGTGCCTCTGCCGCAATGGTTACACAGGAAAGCCAGGTGTGAAAGGTGGATGCAGGGACATCGACGAATGCGCGATTAACCCGTGTCCTCCAGGTGCAATCTGCAACAACGAACCAGGATCCTTCTCTTGTCAGTGTCCTAGTGGCACCACAGGAGATCCTTACAGCGGTGGTTGCCAAGAATCGAAAGCTCCTCACGTGTGTGGACCAAGCACACCTTGTCCTGCTGGAGAACAGTGCATCAAAGATGAATTCGTGGGAAGCAGCGTGTGTATTTGTCAAAGAGGGTACACTAGAGATCACGAGACTGGAAAGTGCAGAGACATCAACGAGTGTATGGAGCTCAGGGACAAGCCTGCCTGTGGAGTTAATGCTATTTGTAAAAATCTGCCTGGAAGCTACGAATGTCAGTGTCCACCAGGATTTAATGGAAATCCTTTCTCTCTTTGTGAAGGTACTGAATTTTTTATTTAGAGTGTAACACGCTTCTTTTATCCTCTATTAAGTTATAGTTTATGTTTAATGTATTATTATTGTTTTTATTGCAGAATGTAATAGTATCGAGTGTCAGTGTCAGCCTCCTTACAAGATTGTCAATGGAAAGTGCATGTTGGCTGGATGTTCCAAGGGAGAGAAGTGTCCAAGTGGAGCTGAGTGTATCACAATTGCTGGAGGAGTTAGCTATTGTGCTTGTCCTAAAGGATATACTACCAAGACTGACGGTTCTTGCGAAGGTTTCTATCAGTCCTTCAATTTTTCTTCTTCAGCAATTACAGTTCTTTCTTTATCGTCGAGTCTACACTAATTTTCAGATATAAACGAGTGTATCGTTGGACACCAAGTATGTGGCTACGGAGCAGAGTGTCTAAATCTACCTGGATCTTATCAATGTGTCTGTCCACACGGTTACGGCGGAGATCCATACAACGGCCTCTGTTCTCCAGCTCAAAAGCGATGCACAAGTGACAACGAGTGCAAGGCCAACGAGAAATGCGTTCAACCTGGTGAATGTGTCTGTCCTCCGCCATTTTACACGGATCCTCTCGATGGAAACTTGTGCAAGAGTAACTACACCTTCACAGAACATTTTTTTTCCGTGATTAATTTAAGAATTTTTTAAAAACAATTCATTTCTCAATTTCTAGATCCTTGCGACAGGTTCCCTTGTGGTATCAACGCAAAATGCACACCAAGTGATCCACCAAGGTGCATGTGCGAGGCAGGCTACGAAGGAGATCCTCAGCACGGTTGCGTCGATGTGAACGAATGCTCGAACAATCCCTGTGGACATGGAGCTTACTGCATTAACACCAAGGGTGATCACATTTGCGAGTGTCCAAAGGGAACAGTGGGAGATCCTTACGGCGCAGGATGCACCGGAGACGTCATAGCGAAGAGCGAATGCTCCTCTAACGACGATTGCGACAATATCTTCGCCTGTGTCCATGGAAGATGCGTGAACCCTTGTGACAACATTCCTTGCGGACCAAATGCCTATTGCGAGCCTGACAAGCATGCAGCTTGGTGCAGATGCGTCATTGGATTCGTCGAGGGCAAGAACAACGAATGCGTTTCACGTGAGTGCTATACCAGAAGTTACTCGAGCCAATATTTCAAGATTTTCCTTAGCAATTAGCTGCTAATTAGCAGAATTCCTGTTTCAATGTCCGTCGGTGTATTCTTTGCATAATATTTCACACAATTATGCGATTGTACTTGGAAAAAAAAAAACACGGTGAAATTGTAAGACAGAGTGCGATGGCTTCGTCTGCGGCTCTGGAGCACAGTGCATCGTGAGCTACAGTGGACCAACCTGCAAATGCATCGAAGGTTTCATGGGAAATCCGTTCCCCGGTGGTCAATGTCAACCAGACGTCTGTTCTCCGGATGTACCTTGCGCTGAACCAAGTGTGTGCATAAGTGGAAGGTGTAAACGTCGTTGCGAGGGTATAGTCTGTGGTGTTGGAGCCTCTTGCGATCCAGCGACCAACAGATGTGTCTGCAATCCGTATTTCATTGGAAACCCTGACCTCCTTTGCATGCCGCGTAAGTATTACATGGAACAATCCAACGATGACGAAGATTTACGAATATTCTGTGTAATTGTTAATTAATTAATGTTTCTTTCGACTCGACAGCGATTAATCCAGCCATCTGTGATCCTGGCTGCGGTGAAAACGCTCACTGCGAATACACTTTACAAGAATCGAAGTGTGTCTGCAATCCTGGAACCACCGGAAATCCCTATCACGGCTGTGGTGTGCAACAGAAGTCTGACTGCTCCACTGCACTGTGTGGCAAGGATGCACATTGCAATGCTGGTCCAAATGCTGTGGAGTGCTTGTGTCCTCCTGGATACGCTGGAAATCCATACATCCAGTGTCATGGTTGGTACCAATAATTTTTTTCCTTCTTTAAAGAAACACCTTACACGCATTGTTGAAGGATTAAAAAATTCCTGCTTGTTCAGATAATTTAAGGGACTATTTCTTCACTTTGCAGACGTCAACGAGTGCAACGGAAATGCCTGCGGAAACAACGCAGTCTGCATCAACACAATAGGCAGCTACGACTGTCGCTGCAAGGAAGGCTTCTTCGGTAATCCTTTCATCGGCTGTCAGCAGGTCCACGTCGGTCCTTGCACCGATCCTTCCACCTGCAGCTGCAGCGAGACCGTTCCTTGTCCCTTCGACTACAGTTGCATCGGCGGCAAGTGCATAAACCGCTGCAGCGACGTGAAATGTGGTCCCAGATCGGTCTGTCAAGATGGTGCCTGTGTCTGTCCACCGGGATACAGCGGCAACCCTAACGATCTAACTAAAGGTTGTCATCTTCACGGTCACTGTTCCAACGATCTCGACTGCGAGCCTCAACAGATCTGCTTCCAAGTTGGAAAAGGCGTGAGGAAGTGTGTAGACGCCTGCAGCAAGCTGCAGTGCGGTCCAAACGCGTTGTGTGTCCCTCAGAATCATGTTTCTTCTTGTATCTGCATCGACGGGTATCAAGGAAACCCCAGTAATCTGATAGAAGGCTGTCAACCAACGAAATCAGTGATACAACCAGGATGCACCCACGACTCTGACTGTCTGGAAGGTTCCTTCTGCATCTCTCTGGACGGCGGTGCTCACGAGTGCGTGAATCCGTGCAGCAAAGTGGTCTGCGGCGCCCATCAGAAGTGCGTGCCTGACATAATACCTGGTCACGCGACTTGCAAGTGTCAAGACAGCTACGAATGGAATCCGATACTCTCTTCCTGTGAAAAACCATCCGTTCCTGATTGCATCTCGGACGACGATTGTCACACCACCGAAGCTTGCAGACCGGATCCTCTCGGTGTTCTTAAATGTGTCTCCGTGTGCAGAAGCTTCACTTGTGCGATGAATTCCCAGTGTGTCGCTGAGAGGCATAGAGGCCGTTGTGAGTGTCTACCAGGTTTCAGTGGTAATCCGAATGATCGTCAGGGTTGTCAGACGCCTAGAAAGGACCAGTGTTCCACTGACAGCGAGTGTCCAGAGGATCAGACCTGTAGAAGCACGGTAGAAGGTCGCTTGACTTGTCTACCGGTCTGCAATTTCGTTTCCTGCGGACCGAATGCACTTTGCGTGGTACACAATCACGTAGCAAATTGCGAATGTCCTCCTGGTCTCTACGCCGGTGATCCTAACGACGTGGTCAAGGGATGTCGAGCAGTACCTTGCGTCTACAACATCGACTGTCCACCTACTCAACTTTGCAACAGATTGACACACACTTGTTACGACGCTTGCGACGAAAATGCTTGCGGAGTGAACGCTGTCTGCATAGCGGACGATCACAGAGCGATCTGTCAGTGTCCTCCAGGATTGAGACCTAATCCTGTGCCAGACGTTGAATGCGTTGCAATTGAAGCTTGCCATCCGAGTCCCTGTCACGAGACAGCTCTCTGTGTTCCTGGACCAACGAATAATCCTGTCTGTCAGTGTCCGTCGAATTTCGTCGGCGATCCTTACGAGAAAGGCTGTCAGCCCGAAGGATACTGCGCAAGTGCCAAGGACTGTCCGGTGCATTCTCTTTGCCACAATCATCGTTGCATCAATCCTTGTGAAAATGCCTGCGGAGCTAATTCCATCTGCGAGATTATCAACGGGCAACCCACTTGCAAGTGTATTCACAGGTTTATACCATCTTCGAAGGGTCCTCAGGACGGATGTGTTCGAGCTACGAATTACTGCAGCGTTGATACTGATTGCGACGAGAGCGTCTGCCTCGAAGGACAATGCATAGGTAAGATACGATTTTTTCGTTAATACAGAAGAGTTTAGATGAGTTTCTCGAGGAAACTATTCATTCTTCCAGCTGTCTGTCGAGCTTCTACCGATTGCTCCGCTGTAGAGAAGTGTGTGGACAATAAATGCTTGATTCCTTGCGTCACTCACACTCAGTGTCAAACTGATCAGGCTTGTGTCAATGGAGTGTGCATTCTGGGTTGCAGGAGCAATAAGAATTGCCCTTCGACGGAGTCTTGCATTAACAACAAGTGTCAAGGTACTTTTCCAAAGAGAAAAAATTACCGAACAACCTCGATACATTTTTCCAAGATTACACACTGAATTTTATTCTGATTCTTTCCTAGATCCTTGCAAGAGGAAAGATGTCTGCGGTCCAAACGCAATTTGCAGCTGCAGCAATCACGCCACAACTTGTACCTGTCCTCTCGGCTTCCACGGGAATCCCACGCCTCAACAAGGCTGCGTCAGAGTGCCAAGTATCTGCGAGGGTCCTCAAGATTGTCCCAGTCAACACGTCTGCGTCTCTGGCTTCTGTCAGTGTCAGTGCAGCGAGCAGAACAACTGTGCCAATGGAGAACGTTGCAAGAATGGTATCTGCGTGAAAGTGTGCTACAGTGATAGCAATTGTCTGCCTGGTGAGCTGTGCATCGATGGAATGTGTGAAGTGGGATGTACGTCTGATGCTGGATGCAAGGATAACGAAGTTTGTATCAACAACAAGTGCAAGTAAGTACTAAATTAAGGAACAAACTTTTCTACAAAATTTTCAGCCGTTTTATCTAGTTCGTAATTTAATTATTTTTTCATTTCTCTTTAGATGCAGTCACGGATTTGTCGCTGGACCAGAACATTGTTTAGATATTAACGAGTGTGACGATCAACCTTGTCACACGAGCGCAGAGTGCGTCAATCTCGTTGGATCTTATCGTTGCGTCTGTCCACAAGGAACAGCTGGCGATCCTTTGGGATCAGGATGCGTAATTCCTCATCAATGCACTTTGCATTCGGATTGTCCAGACTCTCAGGCTTGCATACAACACAACTGCACCGATCCTTGTTCCTTGGTGGACTGTGGATTGAACACTGTTTGCTCTGTTCTGGATCACACAGCTGCTTGTCAATGTCAGCCTGGTTATATCGGTGATTCTTCAGGATGCTTCAAAGTGGAGTGTCTATCTAACAATGATTGCCCCACGGACAAGTATTGCAATCAGGATACCAACAAGTGCAGCAGTAAGTGATTGAATATCTCCGAAGAATTTTTGTTTGTAGAATACTTTGATTTAATTTTTGGAAAATTTGTTTACTCAGGTCCTTGCAACCAAGTCAACTGTGGATACGGAAATTGCGTAGCTTCTGATCACACTGGAGTGTGCAAATGCTTCCCTGGATTCGAGTTAGTGGGTGATATCTGTGTGGATGTTAACGAGTGTCACGAGAATCCTTGTCACTCCTCTGCAGTGTGAGTAATTCTCACGAATCGACATTTTTTGGTTTAAATTTGAGTTAAATTTTCTAATAAAAATATTGGAATATTTTTTACAGGTGTCAAAATACGGAAGGATCTTATGCTTGCGTTTGTCCTCACGGTCTCGTGGGAGATCCTTTCAAATCCGGCTGCAAACAACCAGGAGACTGCTTCACAGACTTCGACTGTCCAAATTCTGCAGCTTGTCTCGACAATAGGTGCACGAATCCTTGTGACGTGTCACAGGTTTGTGGTAGAAACGCGGAGTGCTTCGTTAGAGATCATGTTTCTCTCTGTAGGTGTCCTGGACAGACCACTGGCAATCCAGCAGTAAGTTTTCATTCAGAAGTGTCAATTAAAATTAATTTAACATAGTATTCTTGCTAATTGACGTGATTTTTTATTTTTTCTAATTCTAGTCGGAGTGTATTCACTTGGAGTGTAACTATCACAGCGACTGTAGTCCTTCTGACGCATGCTTCAATCACAAATGCGTCGATCCTTGCTCCCTTTCGAACGTCTGTGGCCAAGGAGCAGATTGCTCTCCTTTGAATCACAGTGCAGTGTGTACTTGTCAACCTGGAGGAACAGGTGATCCTAATTTAGGCTGTACACCTGTTCAGTACTGTAAATCTGACTCACAGTGCGCTACTGGATCTGCTTGTAACGGAGGAATATGCACAGGTAAACGGAAGCTACAGAAAATTAATCATTTTCAATTTTAAACTACCAAATTTTCAATTTTTATACTTTTATAGCACTTTGTGGCAGCACTAGAGACTGCATAGGCGACCAACTTTGCATTAACGGACTTTGTCAACCTACTTGCAAGAGCAATTCCAGCTGTCCCGAGTACCAATACTGTCACAACAACATCTGCGTACAAGAACTACGTTGCACCTCTGACGACGATTGCTCTTACGACGAGAAATGCATTAAGAACAACATCGGGCAAGCAGAGTGTCACAAATCTTGCGATTTGGTCCTCTGTGGGCGCAACACTGAGTGCAGAGCTGACAATCACCTCGCAGTTTGCTCCTGCAAAGGCGGATTCTTTGGAAATCCAAAGGATGATAAGATTGGCTGTCAACCTATCGAGTGTCACACTAACGACGATTGCAGCGGAGAGAAGATCTGTGATACACACAAATGTAGAATCGCTTGTCTGGCTCACAATCCTTGCGGTGTTAACGCCATTTGCACAGCAGAGAGGCACGCCCAGGTAACAGACACACTAATTAAATTCTGAGAAACTTAACAAAGTATCGAAGAAATAGAGTTACTATTTATCCATCGATTTTAGGTTTGTACGTGTCAACCAGGCTACACTGGAGAACCAACACACGGTTGTCAGCAAATCGATTTCTGTCTGGACGAACCATGCGCTCCAGGTGCTGTCTGCGAGAATTCCCGAGGAAGTTTCAAGTGTCACTGTCGAAAAGGAATGGTCGGTGATGCTTACAACAGCGGCTGTCAACCACCTGTGGAGTGCCTCCACGACGACGACTGTCCACAGACTGCCAAGTGTATAAACGTCAACAACGTTCCTAAATGTTTCGGTGTGTATTCAAATCTAGAACCTCTTGAAGAACCTCTAATAACTAACATCGTTCGTAAAATCAATCTGCCTTACGTTTAACTATCCTAATTCTATACGAAACGTTACAGATGTCTGCTCGAGAACGCAATGTGGACCAAACGCAGACTGCTTAGCTGCTAATCACGCGGGAGCCTGTCAGTGTCGGTCTGATTACGAAGGAGATCCAAACAATTTAAGTATAGGCTGTCGGCCTAAACCGGTTATTTGTTCGTCAGCAACGGACTGCTCGCCGAATACCTACTGTTACGAGGGAATCTGTCGACGTGAGTATCATCTGACGTGTTAGAAAAGGTCCTACAGATCCTTATATACGTTCCGAACGAGAGTTAATACGGAGGTGATTTCATATTCCTCCAGCGTCCTGCCAATCGGACGAAGAATGCAACCTGTCGGACGTGTGTCTGAATGGACAATGCCTGGATCCTTGCAACGTGAGGGCCGCGTGCGGAATAAACGCGGAGTGCGACGTGAGGAGTCACATTAAACAGTGCAGCTGCCCGCCTGGCTTCACCGGAAACTCGGAAGTGGAATGCGTGAGGCGTACGTTCGAAATTTTGATCAACCTCTGATTTAAGCTCGGAGGGGAAATTTCGTGCGAACGAAAATTTAGGAAGACGTTTTTTCGTGTAGAGTAAAAATTTCGAGGCTGACATTGCAATTTTGTGATTTACCAAGGATTTGGGCAGAGGGAAACTTATCTTTCGGAATATAAAGATTTGGGGGCTCGGAAAATTAGTATATTGTAATTTCCCAAATATTAGGGGCAGAGACGAATTTTTTACATACAAATAAAACTAGAGGAGGAATTTTTTAGCATTGGAATAAAAAGATTTCAGAGCCTGGAAAATTAAAATATCACAATTTCCCAAATATTGGGGGGAGAGACGAATTTTTAGAGTGGAAATCAAATTTGAATATTCCCACTGGAAGAATAACGAATTTATCAGCTTTAAAATATAAAAATTTCCCAATTTTCAACGGTTCCAGTGCCCGTCTCCTGCAGAGACACGAACGACTGCAACGACGGTAACACCTGCCGCGACAATGTCTGCCTACCAATCTGCTCCAGCGACAATGAGTGCGCTTTCAACGAGAAATGCGTCCGTGAGAATTGCCTGCTCACGTGCAGACTCGACAACGATTGTTTCCTCGGCCACATCTGTCTGAACAACATGTGCACGTTTGGCTGTCGCGCAGACGAGGACTGTAACGCGAACGAGGCTTGTATCACGAACAAATGCATCAATCCTTGCGAAGCAACTCCCTGCGGACCAAACGCCAAATGCACAGTATTCAATCAAAGAGCCACTTGCTCCTGTCCAGCAAGCTTCATACCTAATCCAACGGCTAAAGTAGCCTGTCTAAGATCACCTGGGCCAGCTTGTCAAGCTAACAGAGACTGTGCAACAGGAACAGCTTGCATCGGAGGAGTTTGCACTCCAGTCTGCTCCACAGACTTAAATTGCCTCAGTAACGAACGCTGCGATTCTTCTGGTATTTGCAAATCACTGTGCAGAAGGGACGAAGATTGCAGAAGCGGAGAAATCTGCGAAGGTCTGGTCTGCGTGATTGGATGCAGAGCTGACGTCGAATGCCAGGAAAATTCTGCCTGTATAAATAACCAGTGTCAAGGTAGGAAGCTTTAAAAACGTGGTAATTGCTGTCCAACTAATTGGACCGCGTATTTAACTGTTTATTTTCTCTCCCGTCTCTCAGATCCGTGTTCTCTTCCTGATGCCTGCGGAGTGAACGCCAAGTGCACGGTTGTGAATCATCGGAAATTGTGCGGCTGTCCAACGCCATTAGTCGGGGACCCTCTAATTGGCTGCAAACAGGCGTTCCTACCTTGCACCACGGAACTGGAATGCGCAACTGGTCAGACTTGTTACGGGAGATCCTGTTACGCCACGTGTAGGAGGTAAGGGGATCAAGTATTCGTAGAACGTAGTCCTTGGCGAGTTTGTCCTTCGTCTCGGTGGATTTCTCCACGTAAATCATCTTCACTCGCAGCGATGCTAATTGCCTGAGCGACGAACGGTGCGACGGCGGCATATGCAAGGCTATATGCAACAGCGACGATCACTGCGTGGCGAATCAGATTTGCCAGAACAGGCTATGCGATATTGGATGTCGCAGCGATAACACCTGTCCCAATGACGAGTCTTGCGTGAATAACGAGTGCAGGAGTAAGTGAATTACACGATGGTATTGAATTATTTATGATGGACTGTTTTTTTTTTTCATTAATTTCGTTCTTTTCGATAGATCCTTGCGAGGGCGGAAAAGCTTGCGGAGAATGCGCAGGATGTCGCGTGGTAAATCACGTGGCACAGTGTAGCTGTCCAGCTAATTACTATGGAAATGCATTGAGTAGTTGTGCTAAGTCTATGATACCTTGCGATGGTACCTGTGAATGCGACGAGATTGGATTCTGTACTAAGAGCTGTTTCGGTCAAGATCAGTGCTCCTGTGGGGAAGTTTGTCATTCGGGAAAATGTCGCATCAAGTGTGACATTAATAACTATTGTCCAAAGGTACGTTCAAGTACTAAAGAAAATATTAGAAATTAAAATTTTTGTCCTGTTGTCCTGAAACTTCACTCATTTTTATTTGCTACAGGGCTACGTTTGCGACGGAGGACTCTGTCTAATCGGCTGTCGCACCCATTCCGACTGTCCTTCCTCTTTATCCTGCGTGAGCGGCCAATGCGAGGATCCATGCTCAGCTAATGGATCTCCCTGCGGAATCAACGCTTTATGCAGAGTTTCCAACCACAGAGCTGTGTGTCTCTGTCCAGAAGGATTCCAAGGAGAGCCTAGTCAAGAGTGCTACCAATTAGAGTGTCATCGAGACGATGATTGCGAGGCTAACAAACGCTGCAGCGAAGACGGTGTCTGTACGAATCCTTGCCTCCAACATGGTGTCTGTGGATTCAATGCACAGTGCAGAGTGGTTAGCAGGAAGGCTCAGTGCTCTTGTCCGCCTGGACATTATGGCAATCCTAAGATCAACTGCAAGAAAGGTAATATAAAAATTTCTTTTCTCCGATGCATTTAAACTTGAATTCTTTTAGAAGTAGCTGATTGATAACGTTTGGCAAATTTGATTGTTTCAGGAGGAGACGAATGTCTGAGAAGACCCTGCGGAGTGAACGCGAAATGCAGAGAAACTTTGAACGGCTTCGAGTGCACCTGTGATCCAGGATGTCACGGAGATCCACATCAGGTCTGTATCTGCGACGGAGGAGAGCTGTGCAAGGACACGCGTTGCGGAGTGAACGCTGCCTGCAGGATCTACAAGAACCAGCCACAATGTTACTGTCCATCGAATTATCCTTCTGGCGATCCAACGAGTGCCTGTAAGTGATCCTTTGTAAATGAGAATTACAATCAAGGGAATTTTGAATGGAGAATTTGTAAATTTCGAGATCACAGAGAATCGTTCACTCTCGATTATTCCCAATTTTCACATGTTACCCAATTTCTGAGCACAGGTAGCGCGGACAAGAGCCTAGGCGACTGTCGCACTAATGGCTGCGGCAAAGGTGCAGAGTGCATCCGCGACGGCGCGATATTCGTGTGCAGGTGTCCACCTGGTACCAGCGGTTCGCCGGATATCGAGTGCACCACAGGTAAGAGACGGCCTACTAACTCGTTTAACCGGGCGGATCGATTAATTTCATGTACAGCATTTGTGACTAGCGAGCATATATACTGACGAAACAGAGGAACATGGTCCGTAGAATAACCATGTATTTATTATCGTCGTAGTAGGACTTGAAGTAATACCATAGAATGTATTAATCCAGTGAATCGTTAACAAACTCCGAGAAGAGACAGATGTGATTGGACCAAAGTTGTTTCTTACGAACGACTTCTATACATATTGTACAAAAAAAAAAAAGAAAAGAATCGAAAATACTGAAAACCACAAAAAAAAAAAAAAATAATAGAAAATACGATACAGAGATACGACACTGGATTTTACCCACAACGACCGCGCGACATTTTATATACCTGTACATATATCTATACAGTTAGGCAATACTGTACATAATTGTGTCGAGGAAAGGAGGAACACGTTTCACACATGTCTCACACATAACTATTTTATATTCATATGTAGAATGTTTATTTCAGTATCCAATCTGTCTTGTGGAAACCGTGTGTTTATGTTCTTAGGAGCACATTGCCCTATACGGATTCTTATCGTTCGCCGTCCTTTTCACTCTCTCTCACTCTCACTCTCTCTCCCTCTCTCTCGTTCCTCCCGTCTTTTTTTCCTTAGTTTTCTATTCCTCTTCCACTTTTCGCTCTTTAAATCCTTTGTAAATACGTGTGACGTCGATGCTCGTGCACAGTCACTCGATAAGGCAAGATTAAGTATCAAGATCGAAGGACAGAGAAGCGAAGAAGAAGATGCGAGCACGGGTTACGATAAAAATCGTTTTCTCTCTCTTTCTCTCTCTCTCTCTCTATATATATATATGTATATATACATATATTCGATTATTTTCTCCGGAGGGACAACGCGGGACGAAATAATTTCTCTCGCCTGTCTCCTCCATCGAACGTACCGAGTTTGTAAAGTTCTCTATTATTTTACTTCTTCACAAAAGCTACCCTACTTATTTCCGTATTACGAGTTTACAAAAGCATGTGGTTTATGTTATTTGTGAGAAAGTTTCTTTTCACAGTTCTTATAAATGCTTTTTTCTTTTTTTTTCCTGTCCCACCACCAACCACCACCATCAAAAAAACAAAAAAATATAACCACCTACCGTTCTCCAAACTACGTTCAAAACTCTTACGACACCACGACACCACGACTCTCT